TATATATATATATATATATATAATTTTCATTTTGATCTATCTATATCTATAACATTATATAATAATAATAAAAAATCCCTTCAAATAACTGTTTTTGTGATTTTTTACTTTTTAAAGATATATCTGTTTTTTTTTTTTTACTCTGCAACTGTTCATAAATCTATAATAATTTTTTTCCCACGCAAGCATGGAGTGTCTTCCCCTTACTAGGGTATTATAAACAGAAGCCGAAGGAGGATGAATTTGTTGAAGGTATGATAATGGTGATGTCATGGGTTACCTGGGAATTGGCTAGTATTGGTAATGTGTTTGAAACAATTTGACTCAACCAAGCAAAAGGTGGACTTTTCATTTTACTAAACTCGCAGTTGCATGTTTCAAAACTTTCAATATATAATTTAATAATTTGGCCTTATATAATAAAGAAAACAAATTTTACTATATTATTTTTTATTCTTATATATATATATCATTAAGAATTATTTTATACCACCAAATTAATCACAAATATTTATATATGATAAATCTGTTAACTTTTATTCTAATAATTACTCAAAAATCATATTAACTATAATTTTTTATTAGTTAAAAATGCAAAAGTTTGTATGTATGGATGACCATTAAATTTTACATATTAAAACAAAATAATAAGTAAATTAAAGGTTTAAATGTATTTTTATCCTCTATAAATTTATAATTGTACAATTTTAGTTTCTAAACTTTTTTATTGCATATTTGATCTCTTTAGTATTAAAAATTAAACAATATCAATCCATCATTATTTATTTACATGTCTTTCAAAATTGAAAAAACAAAACATGAATGATATACTGCCTGAAAGTTATTCAGACATACTACTTTCATATAAGGAATAATATTATTTATACTATAAATATATTATGTTTCTTTTTGGTTTTAATTAAAAATTATATTCTATAGGTTATTTTTAATATTACTATTTTCTTATGTGACTAATTAGTTATAGGTAGTGACACCTGTTAATATTTTTTATTTAATTTTTAATGACATGTTAATTATTGATCAATATTATTTAATATTATGCATTTAAAGGATACTATTTGTACGGAATAGGGAAAGGATAATATATCCTCAAGAGGATATTTTGCTGAAAACATCCGATAATAATAAATGATAGATATACTTTTCTTATAACTTATAAATATGCATATTTCTCTTTATACTGAATCGAGATGTGGTCTAGGAAGCATAAACAGAAAAAATAAGATATTATTTATTAATAATATAGACTAAATTATAATAAAAACACAAAAGTTTAATTTGAAGTATTTAAGACGTTATTTTTAGATAAATAATATATATATATATATATATATATATTTTTTTTTTTTTAAATATTAGTTTAAAATTGTTTAACAAAAAAAATAAAAGCTTATGAATATAATTTTTTTCAAGATTGATTATCAATCACAGTTAATATTTTGCTCAAAAAATTCAAGACATGTTTTCTTTTTCTATAATAAAATTATAAAAAATAATAATTTAAGGATTCAACTTAAGATTTTAACTCCCTTTCTCAATCACCAGACTATTTCAAAAATAAAAATAAAAATCAACTAGACTAACTATTGTGATTTTTGAATGTATTCTATTTGTTGTGTTTTTTCTCCTAATGAACAAGAGAAATATTTATAACTCGAACCGCAAAACATTTGGTAACCAAATATGAAATGAATTATTTACTTTTTTTCTGAAAGCAAGCAAGTAAACCAGCGTGCGGCAACAATACAAAACCAGATAAGATGAACGTGAAATAGAATCATAATACTGTAGTATATAATATAATAACGTAAATAACTTTAAAACGTTAAATAAAAACTAATTAGAAAACACTTACTTTAAATTTTGAATTATAAACAGAAATTTTGCAGCAGTCTCTTGGATCTGCTTAATCTAAACCTTGTTCTTCCTTTTGGTGGCACAAATCGTGTTCAGAAATTCCTTTCCTTCCAAATCATTTTCCCAGAAAAGCTTCCAATTTTGCCTCAAAATCATGATGAGAAGACACACCCTTTTGACTCAATCCCCAAAACGATTGTCCCTCTTCTTTGTTGGTCACAACCACCCAACTGATCCACACTCCCTTGTAACTCAATCACCAAAACAAGTCTCCCAAATCCATCATCATTGGTGTGGTCACCCCAAAACCTTAAAACCCACTTTCACTTTCAACAACTTGCACACTGGTTCCACAGTGGAAGAACCAGTTGAAGTGGATGAGGTTGAATTCGATGTGTGGTTAAAGATGCAAGAGGAAGCTAGACTCGATGTCACTGTGGAACCAATCTTGTCTAGTTACTACCACACTTCCATTCTCTCTCACAAATCATTACCAACCGCGTTGGCCAACCACCTTGCCATCAAACTCAGCAGTGAAAGCCTTCCAAGTGCCACACTTTCTCATATTTTTGTCACAGTTCTGGAAGATGATCAAGCCGTCATGGATTCTGTTAAGTGTGATCTGAGGGCAGTGAAGGAGAGAGACCCTGCATGCATATCTCACGTGCACTGCTTCTTGAACTTCAAAGGCTTTCTTTCATGTCAGGCTCATAGGGTGGCTCACAATTTGTGGCTTCAGGGGAGAAGGATTCTAGCTGTCATGATCCAGAATCGTGTTTCTGAAGTTTTTGGGGTGGATATTCATCCTGGGGCTAAAATTGGAAGTGGGATTTTGCTGGATCATGCAACTGGGATTGTGGTGGGAGAAACGGCTGTGATAGGGAACAATGTGTCAATTTTGCATAGTGTGACTTTGGGAGGGACTGGTAAGGTTTCGGGGGATAGGCATCCTAAGATTGGTGATGGGGTGCTCATAGGTGCAGGAACTTGTATCTTGGGAAATATTAGGGTTGGTGAGGGGGCTAAGATTGGTGCTGGCTCTGTGGTCATCAAGGATGTGCCTCCAAGGACTACTGTTGTCGGGAACCCGGCTAAGCTGGTTGGAGGGAAGAACAACCCTGTTAAGTTGGATAAGATTCCTAGCTTCACCATGGACCATACTTCAAATATTTCTGAATTTTATGATTATTGTGTTTAGGCTCTAGAGTGTAATATAATGTAATCCTCAGGCATGTATGTTTTTGAATTGTGTTTAGAATTATAGGTGAAATGATTTTAATTGGGGTTGTTCTTGTTTATTACTTTTTAGTGGCAATACTGAGATCAGAATCTAGAACCTCAGGTGTATTACTCAAATTTCTTACCACTAAGTCCTCCCTAGTGGTTAGTGAAGCTGTTCCAGTTGGTTAAAAGAGAATTCATGTTGCCCTGCTAACAATAATAAAAATGAAAATAATAGTGACAGAACTCCTTGATTACTGTTTTAGGTATGCACAACAGCTGTATCTATGCATGTATGAGTGTGTTGTTGAAAGGTGCTATATATGAATTTGGCTTTTATTGCTTTCATTATCTGTTCTTCTTGTTGCTTATCCTCGTTGGAGATTAATGTGTCTGATGATCTCTGTGGGTTGGGGTGAAATGAAATTAATGTAGATTGTAGCTCATGAAGATGTGTATTGGATGGTATGCACCTTCATGTTAAGAAGGGTAGTGCTGAAGTTGTGCATCCGGTGCTATTCTCTGTTCTGAGGATCACAAGTGTACCTCAGCTAGAGCACTTGTTTGGTGTTTATAATTTTCAGATTGCTTTGGTCCAGTAATTGATTAATATGTTCGATTATTTTGAATTTCTGATTTTTTTATAAACATAAAGTCCAAGATTGGGTGTAATAGGAATAAGAAAAGTCACTTATTTCGATCATCAACATCATTCAATCTTTGAAAAATCTTAAGCCACTTCAAACTCCTATCTCTACTTGTTTTTACTTTTTCTAGTTAGTAGTTATCATGGTTTGAGGTATTTTTCAGAGGTCTCTATAACGGAATTACTCTTTCATAAACCAGTACTTTTATGTGGAGTGTAGGTTTATGAATAGTTTTTGAAGTTTTTTGAAGTTTCATGACCAGGGTTTGAGTTACATAACGGAATTACATGACCTCTTGAGCAAAGAGCAGAAGTTATTTTAAGTTAAAAGCATAAACTATACACAAACTATTTCTTATTCTATTTTGTTCTGAATTTTATGCTTATGTTTTTGAGGGGAAGTTCATTACTATTAGTAACTTATATATCCGCCCATAACACGCTAAACATCCAAAATTAAAAGGATGATATATGAACAACATTTTAACAGAAAAATAAACACTATTTTTTTTCTTCAAATTTTTGCAGTTACACAATCTTTTGAGTTAGCCCCCTTTCCGGGAAATTTTGGCTTTTACTTTGTTTTTTGTAAAAGGATTTGATGTATCATGTATGCAAGTGCATGACAGGTAACACATGGTTGGAGTACAAACTCGTCATCTTGTGAAAGTCATTTTCATGTCGGAGCATGACAAATAGCTTGTTAAGATAAGATGGATAGTTTTGTATCAACACAGTATGCACAATGCAACAAGATCCTTTCTGTTTGTGGCAACCCTGGCTTGTTGTTATTAACACTGCTTTCTATTTCTGTTCGCAACTTTTTTGAGTATCATTCATACCTTACTTTTGTATCCTTCCGGATCTAGTTTGTTTTTCACTACTTTACGTAAGATAGAAGTAGTTTTTTTGTTAACATTGATACTATCTGCATGAAAAAATGATTTGGAAGGAATCAATGTATTGAAATTTCATAAGCTTAAAAGTTAAAAACATACCAACGATGATTACCTCAAGTATCAAACCCCGCACCCCTATTTACTGTATAAACCCCTTGGTCAAAGTGAAAAGACAGATATATCCTTTTCATATTTGTGATGAGAGGGTTTGCAATTTTGTCCTTGTAAAAATTGTAAGTGGAGAGAAATAAAATGAGTTTGTTTTTGTTTCTCTATTTTTACCATGTTAGAATAGTGGATTAAGCCTAACTCAACCCTACAAAACCGGCTTGTAAGGTAAGGGTTGTTTTCCACTTATATACTATTCAATTGCCTAATCTCTAGTCGATGTGGGACTTGGGTTTTTCCCAATACACCCCCTCACGTCCAGCACTATTGAGCTTGGTACATGAATAAATGGTGGATGGCCCTTTTTAATGATCTAGGATTGGCGGGACTTGGATTTTTCCCAATACACCCCCTCATGCCTGTGAGGCATGCATCAATGGTGGGTGGCCCATTTTTAAAGTGGATCTAAATGGCTCTGATACCATGTTAGAATAGTGGATTAAGCCTTACCTTACAAGCCGGTTTTGTAGGGTTGAGTTAGGCTTAATCCACTATTCTAACATGGTACTCACCGCTTGGAGGCACTTCAAAGGGTGGGATAGCTGGCCCCAAAGATTTAACGCGACTGCATACAAAAGGCAGGATTCGAACCCCTGACTTTGCTTAAGCGTGGATCAACCCCTACCGCTGAACTACACGCTTGGAGTTATGAATTGTGTTTATTTGAATGAAAGTTTATAATTTTATTTATTTATTTATTTTAAATGTTTATTTTATTAAAAAATTTATTTTTGTTGTTGTAATTTTATTTTCTGACAATAACAATATAAATAAGCTTTTGAAGTATATATATAATTGATAAATAATTTTTTTGCACAACTGAAACGAGTTTTTATTATTGTGTATGAAACAAACAGTGACACCAAAATTTTGTTTTTATTGTGTGACAAAGAGTGTCAAGATAATGTATAATGGATACATGTTATACATGTAATTAATGTAAAAATAAAAATAAGAACAAAAAGTTACTTTGTTTTTGGATAGAAAGAAGCCCAATTAAATAAAGGGCCCTTTGAAGTTTGAACTTTGAACAACGGTATAACTATCTGACGCAAAACACGGAAGCCCAATTATTGTCTACAAACATCATCGGTACAATGTAATAGGGATCTTCTTGCAAATATATAACTGAACATGTGTATTTCGTACAAGGACTGATTTGCAATTACTACAAACTTATCACCTGACCCATTCTGCAAGTTATTGAGGATTCATCTCAACCATTAATTATTTCAAGATTAATCAGACGGTGCGCATCAAACGAGACCATGATGGACCAAAATTTAAGAACTTTCTTGGTAGACACTGCACTCTGTAAATTTGCATACGGCGGAAGAAGCTGAAGCTACCTTTGTCCTAAGCATCGTTCCATCGGAAGAACCCTACTGTGAGTAAGCTTTTATTTGTTTATTTATTCATTTTTTTTTTCTTTCTCTCTTTCTAGTTTTCAAACCCTAGGTTTTCAGAACATCGCGTGTTTTTGTTTGTTGAATTGGGATCAGTTACTTTATATTTCTGGCCGAGTGGCCCTAATTGCGGTGACTTGGTGTGCAGAGTCGATTCGCATTTCGAATATGTCTCCGTCGTTCGATCTTCCTCCTAAGGGTGGGTTCAGTTTTGATCTATGCCGAAGAAACGCAATGCTTGAAAGCAAGGGTCTCAAGGCCCCAACCTTCTTGAAAACTGGAACAACTATCGTCGGTTTAGTTTTCCAGGTTTCAAATTCCTCGTTCGTTATTTTCATTTATCTTCTCTTGTGCTACTGTTTTGATATGTGTACTTCGCTGTGTTTTGTTCGTTGGTTGAGATTTATGTGGTTTTCTCTAGTGTCTGTGATCAATCTCTTTGATTCTTAATTGTGAGTTCGTGACCAAAATTGCGAGTGGCTTCCCATGGAATAATGGATCCAGACACAGGTTGTGATGGTTTGGCTCGGAATCTTGAGTGAACTGAATGTGTTGTTCTGTTATTTAGATGTCTGGCCTTGTGTGGTGTCGTTGTTCGGGTGAAGGAAATTCTGCTTGTGTAAATGTTACAACTTTGGTTGAATTGGCTGTTAGTGGTTTGGGGGATTCACTTAGGTTGTGTTTTGATGATAGGGGATTAGTTGGCTCTGAAACTGTGCATTGTTTAATAGGGAGAGAATATGGGAAGCCTAGATTGGTTCTGGATATCTTGATTTGTATGTTTTGAAATCTTGATTAGTTGGCTACTTCAAGAATTGTTTATCGTATTGAACTCAGTGGTGGATATTGAGTGGGTGGGTTGGGCATTTTTCTTGTCTGCGTTGTTTCATATAGCTGTGGAACAATCAATGAGCTGTGATTTTAATGATACAGCTGAGGTTTAATATCCACATTTTGTACCATGAATTTGAAACTTAGTTGCTGTGTCTATAGACTGCTTTCTTGTGAAATATTCCACTAATTGGGAATTGTACCATTGGCATTTTTGCTTTTAATGACTGTTCATGGCACTGTCAGCTGTTCCAAACAATGTTCTATAACTATATATATTGATTGCATATTTATATTTTAATGTTTAATTTGTATAGTATAATCTAATGCTAAAGATTCCCACATGATAAATTTGCCTCAGGATGGTGTCATTCTTGGAGCTGATACTAGGGCAACTGAAGGACCTATAGTGGCTGATAAAAACTGTGAGAAAATTCATTATATGGCACCCAACATATATTGCTGTGGAGCTGGCACTGCTGCTGATACCGAGGCTGTAACAGGTATTTGTTTAAAATAATCCTTCTTGTTACGCGATTTTATGTCATGCCTTATGGATAGTTGCATATGGACCATATTTAACTTTTTTTCATTATTATTACTATTATTATTATTTATTAATAGTAAAACTGTAGAAAATGAGTTTGTTATTTACTGTAGACATGGTTAGCTCACAGCTGCAACTACATCGCTACCATACTGGTCGAGAATCAAGAGTTGTTACAGCACTGACCCTTCTCAAGAAACACCTTTTCAAGTTGAGTTTCACAACTTGCACATCAACTGAATTTTCTCTGTTTATCAACCACTGAATCCTGCTCTTTTAAACTATTGTGCAGTTATCAAGGTCATGTCTCTGCTGCTTTAGTGCTTGGTGGGGTCGATGTCACTGGACCTCATTTGCATACTGTTAGTTCTGGCTTAAAAACTTTTTTCTTATGTTCAAGTTTCCTTGTTTTGAATGCATATAGTTCAATTTCTCTGACCTTTGTTGACTTTTGCAGATTTATCCTCACGGGTCCACTGACACCCTCCCGTTTGCTACAATGGGATCAGGTTCCCTTGCTGCAATGTCTGTTTTTGAGTCCAAGTACAAGGAAGGTTTGGGTGTAAGTAAGCATATAAAGGCTCTATTCAGTAGAGCTCTTCAATAAAGCATTTTTTTTAAGTGAAAGACGCCCTTAAACTTGTTAGAGGAGTGCATTTGATAATATTCTGTCAAGTGTCAATAGTTGTTCAATTTATAATCATTTCAATTCAATGGAATGATATGAAGCAAATGTGTTAACTTCAAATCTAAATGTAAATTTTTGCATTAAATTTGTAATTGATACTGGTGTTTGTAACTTCTATCATGTTGCAATGTGATTGAGATTTTAATTTATTATGAACATTTTGATGTGGTGCAGAGGGATGAAGGAGTACAGCTTGTTGTTGAAGCGATAAGTGCTGGTATATTCAATGACTTGGGAAGTGGAAGCAATGTTGATGTTTGTGTGATAACCAAGGTTAGTTCCATGATGCCCAATTGCACTGGTTGTTTTTTGAGGAGAGTTGTCTAACACTAATTTTTGTGCAATTTCTTCATTAATCCTTCACAGGGACATAAGGATTACCTCAGGAACCACCTTCTACCAAATCCTCGTACCTATGTGAATCCAAAAGGTTTTACTTTCCCCAAAAAGACAGGTTAGTTTTGCTAATTTAATATACTTGAGACTGCATTAAGATTATTTTGTTTTGTTTAGTATTGTGTGTCAGGTGTCAATAGTTTGCTTTCTAGCATGGCAGTATCTCACCTTGTGAAAAATATAATGATTTTGGGAATTTGGTGTTGTGAAGCATCAAAACTTAGATAATAGCTCAAGTTATACAAGTCCCTTTCAACTTTTGCTTCCTTGTAATTCCAATTACATAATCATCTGCCTGAACTGATATTACATTCTATGAATTGTATCTTTTGTTACTATAGCACTTGACAGAGTTGTGAATTTGACATACATGTTTTTCCAATTGAAAATATGTTAGATCCCCTATCATTGAGCATATATTATGAGCATCTAGAACGCAACAACCTGCACATGTACATTTTGGGGGAATGAAAGAACATATTTCAGGGGTCACCCATTGTTGGACTTATTGGGCCAGCAGTTAGGAGCTAACAAATAAATAAGAGAAGGGGTAAGATGGGAATTGTAGGGAGCTGGAGTTAGAAGGGGATTGTAACAGAAAGGACAGGTGACAACTTATGAGTGAAGAGAGAGCTGAAAGCAATTGTCTATAGAGGGAGGGTTTTGGGGGAGGGGAGGGGAACAGGGAATTTGTTAGAAGGAATATTTTGTGTGTTGAGTGAAGAAGCTGTTTCTTCCTCTAAAAAGGGTCTATAATTCTTTTTTTTTTTCTCTATTGTTTATCCTATGACAGGTTTTGATATCGATCTAATTCTATATCAATATTACTTTAGTTTTACCATTCATATTTTGGTTCCTATCAATATTTCTTTATAGTCTACTGATATATATTCTCCATTAACAGAGGTTCTCTTAACAAAGATTATCCCATTGAAAGAGGTGGAAGTGATTGAAGGAGATGCTATGGAAGAGTAACTCATTCCAAAAAAAGAGTTATTGGTGTTTGAGTTTGAAACTTGATTAGTGCAATGGCTATGAAATTTAATTATTGTACTGTCAGAACTTTGGTTTTTATTACCAAAAATTATTTGAATTTAATTAGACTGGTGCAAGTTTTTTCCTCAAATTTCTTCATTTAGTAGGTATCTTCTTCATCTCATTTCTAATTTTGGCTAGAAAATGCTTATCATAACACCAAATCTAAGCAAATAAGCACCAAATCTGCTTCATTTAGTGTTCGAATAGCAATTGGCAACCACATGGCTTGGGATAGAATTACGCGAATTGTTATTTTTTCTTCCTTAATAAGCGATTGATATCTCATAGTAAATTATTAAGATTGGTGGCTTTTGTCTTAACTTTGGATTGTGAAAAATGTTAAAATTATTACTATACGATTGTGTGTATTTTAATTAGAACATTTATTACTATTAATAATAATATAATTATAATTTTTAATAAATTAATTAGCATATTATATTTATAAGGTTAAGTTTTATGTTAATATTCAATATTTTTGTTGAAAAGAGTTGAATGACAAATTGTTAAGAGAATTTTGTATTATGTCTAGCGTGATATATCTACCAAATAATAACACAAAAGCCCTTGCTACTCACTCTCTAAAGCTCTCTTTAGAACTTTATATATTATAGTGTTATACTACTAAATGCATAGATGGTATAAATATTTTGATTAACCTTATAATTGACTTATTTTACAGGGGAAAAAAGTCGATTAATAGAAAAAAATTCATAAAATTAATCTCATAATTAATCTTGTTAAAAATGAGATGATAGTATTTTCTAAATAATATTATTACGAGTATATATGAATAAAAAAGTAATTAATTTCATATTGAAAAATTAAAATAATACTTTTTTAAAGTTTTTTTATAAAACGCTTATTATGAGATATAATAGTGTTTTTTTTAATACTCTTTTTATTAGTTAAAACTTATTAAAAATTATAAATTTTAATAAATTTCACTTTTAAATTAAAAGGACTCGATAAATGAAATGAAACGTAAGACGGACTTGAAAAGTGATCATTTTCAATAAATCTTCACCAACATTTTCATTGTGAGGCATCCCGAGGTGCTAAATATATATCCGATTTAATAGCAAAATCAAGTTAATCAATGTTTAGTTTTCTGTCAAACTAGCCCAAGTAGCTAGCTAGGCCAGTCCATTTCGAATAACAACGAGTCAATGATATATAAATATTCTCTTTTACCAATTACACATAAAATACATATAAAAGTGTTAAAAACAAATTGTTGTTAGCATTCTTTATCACTTGCATCATGCATGTAAATTATCTTAACAATTCGGTCAATTAAATTTTATTTATCATATTTTAATAAAAATTATAAAATAATTTGAATTTTAAACTCAAAATATTAACATATTAAAATTAATATGACATGAAATTAAATAATTTGATTTCTTTATAAATTTTAATAAAATTTATAAATATAAAATATATATATGACATGAATATTTAAAAAAAAATAGAAATTGAGTCATTTATTTTAATTAATTACTTATGCTTTAATCAATTGATCCAATATTTTGACTAATTTTATGATTGATCTAATTTTTAAAACATTCTATATAGCACATTAAAAGAACAAACATATTTAAGTGTGATTGAATCGTAAATAATATTATAGTGAGTTCTTAAAATTAAACTTGTGTGAATATTTTGAAATCTCATAGAAAAATTAAAAAAGTAAAGGACATAACTAAAACATTAAGTATTGTAAATCTCTAGGAATGAATAGTTTGAACAAAATTATCTTCAATAATTTTTTCTAAATTATCATCAATATGTGAAATATGATCTATAACAAGTGGTTTATAAAAAAAATATCATAAATAATATAATAGAGAAAAATATAAAAATATATATATAATGAATTGTTGATTGTTGGTTAAATTATTGTTGTAGTATTTTTTTAAAAACGTAACAGAATAAAAAAATAACATGTCATTATATATAAAAAATAATAATTAATGTTATTAATTTTAATTGGAAAAAAAATCATATTACATTGTTTAAAAAAAAGGTAAAAAAATTAAGTTAAACTTTTGTTTTTTGTTTGATGAAGAAGTCAAATTAAACTAATTAAATAAATTGAGAGAATAAAATAACCATTTACTATTTAGCATATGATTTATAACTGGTCTGCACTTGTATGAATGTTGGTATCACTCACACCTTTGGTTTACGCTTACTCTTGCAAGTTGCAAGTAATACAAAAGGCGCATTCAGCTTCCGTTTCCCCTCTGTTTCTCTTCACTGTCTTTGTCAATCTCTCCGTTTCAGTTTTTTAGTGTGTGCGTGCGCGAATGAGGATTCTCTCAAGGAGCCAAGGTCTTCTTTTTGTTTATCCTCATTCAATAATTGCATTATTTATCATATACCCGTTTCAAGGTTGCAATTTCTAATATGATTTTTATTTTTGTTTTTGTTTTTGGTTGCAGTTCTAAAGTTTCGCTTAGCTCTTAAATGTGGGAAAATATACCCTTTGTTTTGCAAGTTTTCATCGTCCTTTTCAAATGGGTCTCCATCAGAAATGTATGGGAAAGCTAAAGTTAATTCATTTATGGACGATGCCTCCCATTCCCAAGACAATGCAATCAATTCAGAGGTCATGAGGAAAGCAGTGCATGATATATGTCGGGTTTTGGACACCGGCACTTGGGGACCTTCTCTTGAAGATGCCCTCAACTCGTTTGTTGAAATGCTTCAACCAGAATTGGTTGTTGGAGTAATCAGGAGGTTGACGGATGTGAAGGTGGCATTGCAGTATTTCAGGTGGGTGGAGGGAAAGACTGAGCTGCCACATTGCCCCCAAGCCTACAATGCACTTCTTATGCTTATGGCTAGGACCAGAAATCTGGACTACTTGGAACAGATTATTGAAGAAATGAGCATGGCTGGATTTGGACCCTTCAATAATACTTGTATCGAATTGGTCGCTAGTTTGGTCAAGTCGCGGAAGCTAAGAGAAGCTTTTGGTGTTATTGAAACAATGAGGAAGTTCAAGATTCGCCCTGCTTATTCAGCTTATACAACACTGATTGGTGCCCTCTCTGCAGCTCACGAAGCTGATCTCATGCTCACTCTCTTACATCAAATGCAGGAAATAGGTTACGAAGTAAGCGTACATTTGTTTACTACGCTTATTCGTGTGTTTGCCAGGGAGGGCCGTGTTGATGCTGCTCTATCCTTGCTGGATGAGATGAAGAGCAACTCATTTAATGCTGACCTTGTCCTCTATAATGTATGTATTGACTGTTTTGGAAAAGTTGGTAAGGTAGATATGGCATGGAAATTCTTTCATGAAATGAAATCACAAGGGTTGGTGCCTGATGACGTGACATATACTAGCATGATTGGGGTTCTTTGCAAAGCTGAGAGGTTGGATGAAGCTGTAGAGTTGTTTGAAGAACTTGATATTAAGAGGAGTGTCCCTTGTGTTTATGCTTATAATACCATGGTAATGGGTTATGGTTCAGTTGGGAAATTTGATGAAGCTTACAGCTTACTTGAGAGGCAAAGGAGAAAGGGATGTATACCTAATGTAATTGCATATAATTGCATCCTTACTTGCCTTGGAAGGAAGGGAAAAGTAGAGGAAGCATTGAGAATCTTTGAGGAAATGAAAACGGATGCAGCACCCAATCTTCCGACTTACAATATTTTAATTGACATGCTTTGTAAGGCAGGAAAACTTGAAGCTGCTCTGAAAGTGCAGGACTCCATGAAAGAGGCTGGCTTATTCCCCAATATTATGACTGTAAATATAATGATTGATCGACTATGTAAAGCTCAAAGACTTGATGAAGCTTGCTCCATATTTCTAGGATTAGATCATAAAGTTTGCACCCCTGACACAGTAACATTTTGTTCACTTATTGATGGCTTGGGAAGACATGGCAGGGTGAATGATGCCTATATGCTTTATGAAAAGATGTTAGATTCTGCTCAGACTCCAAATGCAGTGGTATATACATCTCTGATCAGGAACTTCTTCAAGTGTGGTAGGAATGAAGATGCTCACAAAATTTATAAGGAGATGATGCATAGGGGCTGTTCTGTTGATCTGATGCTCCTTAATACTTATATGGATTGCGTTTTAAAAGCTGGTGAAATTGAGAAAGGGAGAGCTTTATTTGAAGAAATAAAGGCTCGGGGTTTAATTCCTAATGTTCAGAGCTACTCAATTTTAATTCATGGTCTTGTGAAAGCAGGATTTTCAAAAGAAACATACAAGTTGTTTTATGAGATGAAGGAACAAGGACTACATTTGGACACCCGTGCTTACAACATTGTTATTGATGGATTTTGCAAGTCTGGTAAGGTCAACAAAGCTTACCAATTGCTGGAGGAAATGAAGACAAAGGGTCTCCAACCTACTGTTGTAACTTATGGCTCTGTCATTGATGGACTTGCTAAAATTGACAGGCTTGATGAATCATATATGTTATTTGAAGAAGCAAAATCAAAAGGTGTTGATTTGAATGTAGTGATCTATAGTAGTCTTATTGATGGGTTTGGGAAGGTGGGCAGGATTGATGAGGCATATTTAATTTTGGAAGAGTTGATGCAGAAAGGTCTGACTCCAAATACATACACATGGAATTGCTTGCTTGATGCATTAGTGAAAGCCGAGGAAATCGATGAAGCTCTTGTATGCTTCCAGAACATGAAAAACTTGAAATGCTCTGCCAATGAAGTAACTTACAGCATTATGATAAATGGTCTTTGTAAGGTTAGAAAATTTAATAAGGCCTTTGTTTTCTGGCAAGAAATGCAGAAACAGGGGTTAAAGCCCAATACTATCACATATACCACCATGATTTCAGGACTTGCTAGGGCTGGAAATGTTCTGGAGGCAAAAGATCTCTTTGAGAGATTTAAGTCAAGTGGGGGCATACCTGATTCAGCTTGTTTTAATGCCATGATAGAAGGATTAAGCAATGCCAATAAGGCAATGGACGCATATATGCTTTTTGAAGAAACTCGACTTAAAGGTTGTCGTATATATAGCAAAACATGTGTTGTTCTTTTAGATGCGTTGCATAAGGCTGACTGCCTTGAGCAGGCAGCGATTGTTGGTGCCGTCTTAAGGGAAATGGCAAAGTCTCAACATGCTACAAGATTGTCTTGATAACAGGTCGTACATATTGTATTGGTATTGGAATAGAAGTCTGGCTTATAGACCAAATTAGGTGAGGGTCTTCTCGGAAATTGCTTGCCGTAATACCCCTTCCAACTAGTCAGGTGATTTCTGAGACAAAGCGAGAGATTTTTAATGTCCTTAGTTCTTTGATAAGGACCATAAGGATGATATGGTCCTAGCCTATAGGTAATTCTTACTCACTAATTACAATAGTTATTCAGGTTCCAGAGTATCTGACATGTGGGATAGAATGTATATAACTTCTTTCATTTGTGTGTTTACATGTGTGCCACATTTTTTAATTTCTTCGGCAGATTTTATTATTGCATATTGTGTTGATTATTACTATATGTCCAGGCAATTTATTCATTATCTTTTGAGAGAGAGATTCATGGTTAAAAACAAGATAATAATTATGAAGTTTCGATTTGCTATCAAGTCTCCTTGGTAACTTAATTGTCTGAATCTTGATCCTTTTTATGCTAGGTTGAAGCATGGGTATAAATGTTCACAACTAACGAATACAGTTAAATTGGCATCATTACCAGCACGGATACTGCAAATCTGTGGATTATGGATTTTCATCCTTATTTATTTTGAAAACGTAATCATGATTTATTTTAAAGTGTACTTTTAATGTGTGTATAAATTTTGTTGCAGGGGGCAAGTTCCCAATCGATACCCTTGTAATTTTTATTTCCCATTGTTGAAGGATATTTACTCAAATTTCACTGGCAATGGACTGTCTTCAGGTTCTTTCTATACTGTGAGTTGATTCAAAATTGGAGGCTAACTTTTTACTTCTCTCTTCATCATTTGTCTGCTGTTCTTGAATAATTCATTTTCACAATCTTTAAATTTTCTTTAAAGTAATTGAAACTTCATAAAGTGTATATTTATTTATTATTGGAATGCAATGATTTTGGCATCACATGATGCTTCTGGTTTTGTTTTTTACTATTTATGTCGATGGGTATGATACGAAGTCGTAACGACATTAAGTATTAACTGATAAGTTCTGATAAACGTGGATCCCATTTCATACACCTGAAAACGGGGTGTTGGGAAGTAAAGGAACAAAAAGATATTGAGAAAAAAGAAAACCAACCTCGATTTTTATTTTTATTTTTATTCTCTCGCCCTCTCTTCACTACCACACGTGGGGAGATTCATTTCCATTTCAAGTTTTTTTGTTTTCATTGTCAGAAATTTCATTATCCTTGGTATGATTGCTTAAACTCTTGGATTACGTTCTTTGAGATGTATGAAGGTGCCTATCCCCTCGTCTTCCCTTCCGTGATCAGCTGGTGTGGCAAGCATCGGATGTTATTTAAAGATAAATATGTTTCTTTTTACGAGTAATCAAAATAACTGGTTATAAGAGAATAAATTACATCTTGGGTCAGCTATCCTACTCTTTAAGGTATCTTTAACGTAGCGAGAAGATTAGTCATTGCTATTAACAGTGATACTCTAGGGACAAACTAAAAAAAAAAAATTATAATTATAAAAATTAATCATTTATACAAACTGATTGTTAACTATAACTATTCTTTTTTATAATCGATCTTAGTTTATTATACTCGGTTTTAACTTTTAAAAACTGGATATATCTAAAACCAATTTTAAGATTTTTGAAAAATTTTCTTTTAAAATTAATGAACATGATGATTTTTTATTTCATGTAGTTAAATTTTATAATAAATGCTTTTTAATATATAAATATATCCATTAAAAATAATATTAAATAAGTATTTTTATATTATTATAGGAAAATATTTTAATTATTGATAATTTATTGAAAAATATTAAAATTCAATTTAGAAATAAAAATAATGAATTAAAAACATTAGAGTTTCAAAAGAAATTCTCAAAAAAAATCTTATTGAAGAAAATTAATTAAACGTCTCACACCCTTTAAGTGACTCAAAATCACTTACACTTTCTAATTGTTAATTATTCACATATATTTAACATCAATTATTTTTATTATTTATTTTATTTTATATTTTACATAAAATTCACGAAGACACAAACTACCATTTTACTTAATTTATATTATGAGGATTGTTAAAATATAAAAATTATTATAAAAGTGTATTCTATATAAATTTATTCTTTATTTTTTCCTTTCAAAACCAATTATATATAATTGGTTTAAAAAAAATAACAGGTTATTAACAATTAAAAACCAATTATTCTAAATCATAATTGATTATGATTAAATCACCTAACCATGAGCACTCTACTTTCTTAACCCCTCTTCATTAACCCTGCTAGTGGGTTCTATCATCTAGAGCTCCTGTGTTCCTCCCTCAAAACCCTTTTAATTTGCTTTGGAGGTTACTTCACAATAAAATACTTAGGAATGATATTCTGCAAGTGAGAGGTTGTACTATTGTCTTGACTGCTTGTACCTTATGCCTTCATGCCAATGATTCATCTCAGCACCTCTTCTTGGATTATCAATTTGCCCACCACCCTCCATCCTGTTGTGCCACATTCATCTATCTTCTCTTTCTTCCATTCTTCAAATCTGTTAAAAGAAGGTTAGCAATTTACGAATGATATCTGTTGTATTATAGAATGAGGCTTACATAAATTAAAATTAAATCTAGTACAAATTGAACCCATGATTTTATTAATTTCTAAGAGGTTTAAAAATATTTTATCAGTTCATTATTTGTTATATGCAAATTTAATATTATTATTATTATATTATATTATATTTATATATTTTGTAATTATTATATACATATTTTAGAATGATCTATTAATTTTTTATTTGATAATAAAGTATAATTCTTTTCTATCGACCCGACTCTTATAAAAATAAAATGATATCTCTTATTTGCATGTTCAAATTCAAAACAAGAATTAAAGATATATCATTCATTAAAAAATATAAATGTTGAATCACTTAATCTAGTAATTTTTAGTAAAATAATATATTTATAATATCATGAGTTGATTAAAAAAAATAATTTGTACATCATACATGTCACCAATCTAGTTGTTAAATAAAAATAAGATTTAAATATATTTTTAATCCCTCAAATTTAGGATAATTTATTTTTAGTTCTTCAAATTTAAAATTGTTATTTTTAGTTACTATAATTTTTAAAAATTTTGTTTTAGTCTCTCAAATCACTGATAGTATATTTGAAAGTAACAGATTGAGATAATTGTACGGGATCAGTTGCATTTAATATAATGTTTTCATTAATAGAGATATTGGTAAGTAGATTTTATGTGATAGAATTTGACAAATTATATAACAAAATTTGAGTATAAGGACTAAAACAATATTTTTTAAAATTTCAGGAACTAAAAAAATCAATTTTAAATTTGAGAGACTAAAAATAAATTTACCTTAAATTTGAAGAACTAAAAACATATTGAAGTCTAAAAATAAATATTAAAAATTTAACACAAAAATATACTAATATATATAGATGATAAAACAGGTTAGCTCGGTCTGTTTAAAAAAATCCACAAAAAATGTTAAGTCAAGCAAACATGTCAAACAAAATCGAGTTGGATGTTTTAGTTTGTGGCTGTCAAAAAAAGGAAAAAATAAAAATAATTATATATAAAAAATAAAAATAATTATATACTTATTTTGAGTTTCTCTTCTAACATTTTTTTTTCAATATTTAAAAGACCTATATAAACTAGTATATTTAAATAATAAAATAAATGTTAAATTATAACTAATTTGATTTAATTTATTACATAATAAATCTCAAATTTATTACATTATATATATATATATATATATATATATATATATTCGTTCATAGCTCTTCTCATAAATTTATTATGCAACAAATATCAAATTATATCAAAAGTGAATTTGTAGCTAAATTTTTGAAAATGAATTTATAATTAGATTTATATAAATAAAGATATATATTAAAAAAAGAAGATTATAAAATGACATCTCAATATTTTTGTAGACATAATAATAGTTAAAATTTATTTTAAAATGATGTCTTATAGCAATATAAAATAAAATAGTTTTTATATTATAAATAAATAAATAAATAGAATGGATGTGGAATTAAAAAAATGAAAGATAAATAAGATATGAGCTAGAGAGAGCCTTCGGAACAAACTCACCACTTTTATGTATATTTTTTTTTAAAAAAGTGTGAATGTATTTGTCAAACAAAACCGTTCCTTGAAGCGAGTGTTAATTAACGCATGTTATTTGGTCCTTTTTGTTTACCACCTTAAATAAAGAAAAAGAATCCGAAAAGTCCTTTTTCACATACAATTTTACAAACAACAGAAATTTACCGATTGAAATCCTTCCTAGTCTTCAAAATTTCTCTTGGTTTAGTCCTTTTGTTCAATCACTTAAGCCGATAATCATCATCCTTTGAGGTGCGTTTCTACTATCATTTCACGTTCCCTCATTCTCCGCTGTTAAATACAAAGTCTCATTCTGAACTGCAATTTAATTTCTTTGCAGCAACTGTACTTTTGGGAAGCAAAGTTTGCATTTTTTGGGCTTCCCATGACATTCCAACTCAAAACGGAACCTGGGTCGCCACCCGGTTTCACTTCCACCACTCGCGGAAACTACTACCAAGAGATGAGCATTTCCGACCTTGTTTCCGAGTTGCGTGCTGCGTACAAGGTAGAACATTTTGATCAAGTTGAAGAGGAATTGGTGAAGAGGGACGCCATACTTAAGGCAGAGTTAGGGTCACTCAAGGAGAAGATTCAGGAGGAGAGGCGCGTGAGCACTGAAGCCGAAGAAAAACTGAAAATAAGAGAGGAAGAATTTGAAAAGGGGAAGAGAACTAAAGAAAACTATGAAAAGTTGTTGAAGGAAGTGAAGCAAAATGGGTTGCTTCATAAGAACACTGTTGAGGAGTTGAGACAAAAGAACCTTGTCTTAGAACGTGAAAATCGTGAGCTCAAGGAGTTGAAGAAAAAATGGGCAGAGGATAACGATACTGTGGCTGAACTTAGGATCAGGGTTGGTGAGTTGGAGAAGGAGAAGAAGGCTGGGGACAAGAGTGCTTTGGATGCACTGAGGATGAAGAACAATGAATTGGAGGAAGCTGTGAAGAAGAATTTGAAAATCCAAGAGGAGTTGAGGACTGAAAACTGCAGATTGACAGATGAGAAGGGCAGGCGTGAGGCATTGATCGAGTCTTTGGAGAGGAAATTTGGGGAATTAAGTGTAAGGGTCGTGAAGTTGGAGGATGATACAAAACTTTTGATGAGTGAAGATGCCTCCGGTGGTGGAAGCACTGAAGTGAAGCCTCAAGCTAATCGTGGAGCTACTTATGCAACTGAGTGGCATGTTCCTTTGCAAAAGAATGGATACATTCACAACTCTCTTGGTGTTGCCACTTCTCAGTCTCGTAGCAAAGGAATCGAGGATGCTCTAGATGCATCAGGTATGGAAATGGAATTCTCTTGCATCTTTTATAGCTATGCAGATTTACATTTTTATAATGTTCCTTTAAAAATATTGAATTAGATCAAACTGATTGGATTAGTGCACTATGGTCATATTTCTTGGTAGCTGGGCCTTGAATCACTATGATTTATTGAGGGGGGTTGCTATTAAGAACGCCTCTTTTGCTCTTCGCACTGTCTGCCATTTTTTTTTGTACTGTGAACCAGGCTTACCGCGCATGTCCTTACTTAACCAGCAGAGGTAATAACATAGTTGAATGAGGAACATCCTCTGGAATAAAAAACCAGACTGTCATTAGAACACTCATGGCATTTCAGATTAACTTGCTTTATCTGTTCATTATCTGATACAAGATCCCTCATTAAGAAGGTATTCATGGGAAGGCATAAGAATGGAGGTGGGGTGGTTTGTAGAATAAATAGGGAGACTAGTTAGAGTTTGGGGTGGTTTGTAGTATTCCTTGGAGAGGTTCAGGGCACTCTCAAATTTCCCCGAGTTGTAAACATTTTCTTGATATCCTGCCTCTGACTTTTTTCTCCAATTTGGCTTACCCTCTGTTTTCACTTCCCCTTTTACAATATTGCTTCTTCCTCCTTCCTCCTTTCTCCTTTCTACTTCCAAACAATTGTAAGGGTTAACGAGGGTCTTGTAAAAGTTACCTTGGGCAGAATTTTGTTTTAATTCCCACTATCATCATTCTACAGGGATGACACCTTTTAGAGCAGTGTATGGTAGAGACGTACCATCTATCATTCGAGCCAACACTTATCCCTCGAAAGTAGAAGCTTTGAATGCAATGGCTGAGGAACAGGACGGTTTGTTGAACAAGTTGAGAGCTAACATACTTAATGCTCAATACAAAATGAAACAACAAGCAGATAAAAGGAGGAGGGATTTGAGTTTTCAAATAGGAGATGTTCCTGTGCTAGGATACACACTCCAATTATCCTTGTTGTAGCGAGTCGGGTCTTGGGTCGAAGGTCTCAGTCTCTTTGTTCTTTTCCGAATAGTCCGAAGTGTAGGGGGGGGCCTGCAAAGACACTCCGACGCTCAAGTTAGTGGTCGGTGTAATAAATGCGGTAGGTGGAAAAACTAACTACGTACCTCGTTGGGGCTCTATTTATAGGTGTTCGTATTGGGCCGCGATTAAGGATTGGGCCCCGGAAAATTAGGGGGTTAATCCAATAGATTACGGTAATTAAGCTTTTCGTAATCATTCTGACAGATGCGCTAGCTTGGCCGACCACACCGAAACGTTTTAGTTGTGTACGAGTGGTCGGCGGGCACGGTTAATCGGACTAATTTCTGCGGGTTCGGCCCGGTCGGCCTTTTAAGTGTTCGGCCTGGTCGGCTACCATACGGTATACAACCCCCGCAGCGTCAAGGATGGGAAAGACGAAGACGGTACAAGAGTCATAGTTGTTGGGCTTAGGGAATAGGTGGATCTCGACAGGATTCATGCCGAGAACTCTGTTAGGCTGACGTTGTGGTTGAGGACTCAGAAACGTGAGGTCTGGGCGAGATTTCGGTTGGACGATGTCAAGGCCGAGGACTCAGCCGCGTGAGTTTTGGGCGAGCCCTTGGCTGGTTGATGCCTTGGCCGAGCAATCAAACGTGCAAGGTCTATGGGGGGCTCGATTGGACGATGTCTAGGCCGAGGACTCAGCCGCGTGAGTTTTGGGCGAGCCCTTGGCTGGTTGATGCCTTGGCCGAGCAATCAAACGTGCAAGGTCTACGGGGGGCTCGGTTGGACGATGTCTAGGCCGAAGACTCAGGTGTGCGAGGGTTGAGATAATCCTCGGTTGGCTGTTGGCTTGGCCGAGGACTCCACCGCGCGTGGTCCAGGCGAGCCCTCTGCTGGGTGGTGTATGAACCGAGACCACCAGTAGTTGGAACCGGTGCCTTAACCTCGGTAGGCTTGGCGTGCCACGTTGGCCCTAGCGGTTACGGGCCCAACGGTTATCAAATCTGAACCGTTGGATGGTCCAGATCGAACGGTTAGGGTTTTGGGGCGTCTTTTCACCTCCTATGTTTACCTTACCTATAAATAGGATGAGGGGGGGTCTGAAAATTTACTTGCTGTAAATTTTTCGAGCGCTCTCGAAATCTAATTCGTCCGAGCTCACCGAACAAGGTAAATTTTGTATTCCTTATTTTTAGCAATAAATGGACGAGGGGTATTCTTTGGCAAGGAGTTGGACGTCGTCAAAGGCGTCGGACGCTGAGTCGAACAGAGAGGGGACGGACTCGAGTGAGATATCAAGGTTGCCGCCGTTGCAGTGTGAAGTGGTGTTCCCTTCCGACCATCCCGGGCGGGAAGATAGCGACGATGAGGTGGTCGAGGTATCGCCGCCTGTGACTTTGGCTTTGGCCTTGGCACAGGCCACCGAGGTAGATGATCGAGGTTTAGGTCGGGTCGGTCAACCAAATCCACATGCTGAGACTACCCAAGTTGAAGTGGGCGGGAAAGAGGTGGAGTTGCCTGCCGATGCCCATAGAAAAGATATGGTCGGTCCAAGCCGCCAGCCAAAGGCAAAGATTGATTATGGCACGGTAGAGATGTCCGGGTACGAATGGGTGGATGGGGAGGTCGGTATCTATTTTTCCAAGTTATCCGATCAAGAACTGTTAGACACGTTCGTATCTCTGGAGAAGTGTTTCGGGAACGACGATGATTTTTCGTTACTCGCCGAGGCATGCGTGGACGTCGGGCCGGACATGGACTTCGTGTTTTTGGAGCCGGAGTCCGACGAAGACGAACACTTTTATGCTTACATGTGCTGGTTCGAAGACCTTGGCATACAGTTACCCTTTGACGACTTTCAGATGGGAGTGCTCCGGACACTCAACGTGGCTCCGACCGAGTTGCATCCGAACGCTTGGGCTGCTATGCAGTCGTTTCGAAACCTATGCCTGTGTTTGGGTATCACTCCCCGACCCCTTGCCTTCCTTTATTATTATACCAGCCGACCGAACAAGCCGGTGAAATGGGTGTCATTGGCTCGGGTACCGAAGCGGGGATTCCTCCGGGCCTTTACCTCCTCCTATAAAGGTTTTAAGAGTGGTTTTTTCAAGGTCCGATGGGGGTCGGAATTGCACAATTGCTTTTACGACCGAGACGGGACTCCTTTGTTCCCCTTTTACTGGACGAGGCGACCGACGTGGTACGAGGCGATACCAGAATCTCAACTCCCTGCCGAGGACAAAGAGATCGTGGATCTCCTCAACCAGTTACCAAAGGGCTTTCCTGTCCGAGGCCTTTTGGATATTTTCGAGACTTCTCACTTTGAGACGGTCTTGTTAGGTATGTGCTTTAGGCTTCGACACTTTTGCAGTTTTGAATTGATGTTAAGATTTCTCTTATTGCAGGTTTAATGGCCGAAGGCAAGCTGGATGTGACCGCCATGCTCACTCAAAGGGCGAAGGAGGCGAAGGCAAGTGCGAAGGTCCCACCAGCGAGGTCGGGTTTGAAAAATCCGCGAGATAAGCCTGGTCATGTGATTATCCCCGTGGCCGATGCTAGAAAGAAGGCCAGCACTTCACGGGTAAGGGTTGCCGAGCACAATATTGAGACGGATCGTCCGAGCTCTTCGATCAAGCGGGCCAAGCAATTGTCGTTGGAGCAATCAGGCTGTGGCAACTTCGCTATCCCAGCCGTTGTTGCCGGTTCAAATTTCCTGACTCCGACTGTGCAAACCGCGAACTTGGTCGGTCTGGATCTTGTTACTGGAGGTGGATTGCAGTAATTGGAGGGCATGTCCGCCGAGGAGGCATACAAGCTGTTTTGTGAGCTTGATACTCGAACCTCCCTCGTTGCCAAACACGTCATGAACAGGCATACCGTGTCCGAGGAAAGGGTCCACGGCCGACTCAAGGAGGTCGAAACCACGGTAAAAGAGGCGTTGGCTACGAACGCCAAGTTAACCGAGTCGGCTGAAGAGCTAAAGAGGGTTGTCGACGCCCACCGACGGGAAGCCGACGACTTGAAGTTGGTTGTACAAAGAATGAAGGCCGATGCTACCGCGTCTGCGGCTGAGATTGCTTGGTTGAAGGAGGCCGCCGCCAAGTATGAGGCCGAGGCTACCGAGCAAATACTTGCCCAACATGATGCCGGCTTCCAGCATGCGGTGAGACAAGCTTATCATTTTTGTGAGGTCCCGGCTAATTTTGAGTTCGATGTCAGCCGAGACTTTTTGGGCGGCAAGTTCATGAGCTATTCTGAGTTCCCCCAAGGGGCTCAGCCCGATGCCGAGGCCCCTCGTCATGGCATCTCCACTCGAGCTCCTGCACAAACAGCCGAGGACGACGATCCGATCATTGACGTGGTCGGCGACGGTGATGGAGGTCACCCTGGAAGTCCAACCGCTACCTAAGGGATCGGCTTGTTAATAGTTTTAGGTTTATCATTTTTTTTGTAACCGGGCTGTACGCGGTTTTTGTCAGTTTGGCCGCTGGCGCCGGTAGGAAGAATTTTTTGTAATTAGCCGTGTTGATCGGCCGTAGTCAATGACATTATTTTTGCAGTTTTATGCGTATTTGTGTTTATTATTCGGCTTGAATGTTGTGCGTAATGCTCGGTTTAAGTGTGTACTTAGCGCAATTTTCTTCGCGATTCCTGTATATCGATCCGAGTAGCTATATTTTTGTGTTGATTTGTAGCCGAACTGTACGTTTAACCGAGGGGGGTGCGAATCAAATTTAAATTGAGTTACATTAGTGTTTGGTTTAACAACGTAGGTCACGACTCGATTTGAGGTGCTGAGACGAGTACTCGGCGCGGGTGTGTTCGGCCCGAGTGCCTTGAGTTTCGTAGGTGAGTTGTTTTTGGATATTCGGAATAATATATCGCGGGATGGGCCAGAATTGGGACCTGAGTCTCAGTAGGGACAGCCATTAGTGTTTGGTTTAACAGCCTAGGTCGCGACTCGATTTGAGGTGCTGAGACGAGTACTCGGCGCGGGTGTGTTCGGCCTGAGTGCCTTGAGTCTCGTAGGTGAGTTGTTTTTGGATATTCGGAATAATATATCGCGGGAGGGGTCGGAATTGGGACCTGAGTCTTAGCAGGGAAAGCTGTCGGCTTACATGGTGCTCGGCCTAGGTGTATCCTTAACCGAGGAGGTTACTCGGGAGGAAAACCTGAAAGGCTCGAGCACACGTCGGAGTGATCAGCCGAGAATAGCTCAACTGACATGGTGCTCGGCCTAGGTGCATCCTTAACCGAGGAGGTTACTCGGGAGGGAAACCTGAAAGGCTCGAGCACACGTCGGAGTGATTGGCCTAGGTGCATCCTTAGCCGAGGAGGTTACTCGGGAGGGAAACCTGAAGGGCTCGATTTTAAGTACGCGTTATCATTCAGCGCTCGGTTTATGCGTGACCTAGACATTACAAAAATAACATTATCATTCACTTTGTCGTTGTCGGCCGAGTCTTGCTCGGCCTCGTCGTGGTTGGGATAGTGCTCGTCCTAGGTGCATCCTTAGCCGAGGAGGGTACTCGGGAGGGAAACCTGTTGGGCACGAGTTCACTTTGTCGTTGTCGGCCGAGTATTGCTCGGCTCCGTCGAATTTGGGTATAGTTCTCGGCCTAAACATAGAATAAAAACACGCTATGATGAAATTTTGAACTTTTTATTAATGAAGTGCCTCGTTAAAAACCTTGCCGACCCAAAACCCTCCTTAGGGAAAAAGAGTCGGTCAAGGAAAAGAGTGCACTGATACATCAACTGTAGTACATTTTCAAATGTAACGAGTTCCAAGTCCTCGGAATTGGTTCTCCTGACAAATACTCCAGCTTGTATGCTCCGTTGTTCAAATTATGTCGGACGTGGTATGGTCCGTCCCAATTTGGGGCGAGCTTCCCTTGTCTCGGGTCCTTTCTAGCCTCGCCTGTAGCTCTCCAAACCAGGCCTCCTTCTCGAAATTCCCTAGGCTTTACTTTGCTGTCAAATCTTCTTTTGTAGCGTTGTTTGGTGGCCTCGGCTACGACCAGTGCTCGGTTACGCATCTCTTCTGCCACGTCTAGGCTTGCTCGGAGTTTGACCTCGTTGCTTGCTTCATCGAAGTGGGCTCGACGGAATGATGTCTCTCCTATTTCAACTGGGATCATTGCATCGGACCCATAGACTAGGCGAAATGGTGTTTCTTGCGTGGTCGATTGGGGGGGTGCATCGGTATGCCCAGAGTACCTCGGGAAGCTGCTCGGCCCATGCTCCTTTAGCTACCCCTAACCGTTTCTTCAGTTCTGCTAGGATGACTTTGTTGGCTGACTCGGCCTGACCATTCGTGTGTGGGTGCTCGACCGACGTGACCTTGTGCTGTATCTCCAGGCCGACCAAAAACTCGTTGAGTTTTCGGTCAGTAAATTGGAGTCCGTTGTCGGTGACCAGGGTATGGGGTACGCCAAATCGGGTTATGATATTTTTCCAAAAGAATTTTTGGACCTGATGGGCCGAGATGCATGCCAAAGGCTCGGCCTCGATCCATTTTGTGGACAACTCCACGGCTACGATGAGAAATTTGCATTGCCCCTTGGCAACCAGGAAAGGTCCGAGTATGTCGGCTCCCCAAGTGGCGAATGGCCATGCCGGGGGAATGCAATGCAACTGCTCAGCTGGTTGGTGTATCAAGTTACCGTGTTCCTGGCAAGGTCGGCACTTCCTCACAAACGTTGAGCAATCAGAGTTCATGGTCGGCCAATAGTAACCTGCTCGCAGGAGCTTTGACACGGTTGTCCTCGCACCTGAGTGCAATCCACAAATCCCCTCATGTACTTCTCTCATCACGTAATCGGCCTCGGTGGGGTCTAAACACTTGAGAAGCGGTGTAGTGAAGCCACGCTTGTACAACTGTCCTGCAATGACGACATATCTACTTGCCTGAGTCCTCAAACGCTTGGCCTCGGCAGGGTCGGTGGGTGCGGCACCAGTGTTGATGAATGCCTTAATTTCTTCTCGCCAGTCAGGTGAGCCACCCTGTCCGGTGTTCTCGGCCTCGACGTTAGCTATCATTTCCGCTTTGACACTTGGTTTTCTGCTGAATGATGGTTCTCAGCTGACCTGGCCTCTTGGTCGCGGCCAACCTTGCCAATTGATCGGCGCGCACGTTATTCTCGCGCGGTATGTGCTCAACCGACACCTCCTGAAAGTTCGCCTTCATTTTTTGGTAGGCATGGTAGTATTTCATCATCATATGGTCTTTGACTTGAAAGTTTTCACCCACCTGCTCGGCCACAACCTTGGAATCGGTCGAACATTTGATTCTTGAGGCACCCATGTCCTCGGCCAGCCTCAATCCGGCTAATAGAGCTTCGTACTCAGCCTGGTTGTTCGAGGCCTTGAATCGGAAACGCAGGGACTGTTCCAATGTAATACCATTCGGCCCTTCTAAGATCACTCCTGCTCCGCACCCCTGGCAGTTTGAGGAACCGTCCACATGGAGGGTCCACCATTGTTCCTCAAAATGGTCGTGTGGGTGCAGCTCGTTTACGAAGTCCGCCAAGCACTGCGCTTTAATTGGCCCTCTCAGCTTGTATGTGATGTCGAATTGTGAGAGCTCCACTGACCATGCCATCATTCTCCCGGCGAGTTCGGGTTTGCCCAAGACCTTAGAAATCGGGCAGTCGGTGTGTACTATTATTTGATGGCTCTGGAAGTAGTGTCGCAGGCGTCGGGAGGTGTGCACTAGTCCGAGTGCAACCTTCTCTATCAGTTGGTACCGAGTCTCAGAGTCCTGTAGGAGTCGGCTGATAAAGTATATGGGCGCTTGGGTCCCCTCCTTTTCTTGCGCCAAGACCGAGCTGATCGCTTCGTCAGATACGGCCAAGTATACCAAAATCGGGTTCAAAGGAACAGGTCTCGCAAGGATCGGCGGCGTCGCCAAGGTTGCCTTCAACGCCCTGAAGGCCTCTTCGCATGGTTCGTTCCATGAGAACGCCGAGGCCTTGCGCAAGAGCTTCGTCATCGGGCTAATTTTGTCGCCTAGACGCGGGAGAAATCGGGACAAGGCGACTAATCTTCCTGAGAGGCGTTGCAATTCCTTGAGGTTGCTCGGGCTTCGCATGTTTAAAACGGCCTGGCATTTGTCTCGATTTGCTTCTATGCCTCTTGTCGATAGCATAAAGCCCAGGAATTTGCCTCCTTTGACCCCGAAGGTGCACTTCTCGGGGTTCAGCCGCATGTTGTGCTTGCGGAGTTCGCCAAAAATTTCAGCTAGGTCTGTGATGTGCTCGGCGAGAGAATTGGACTTGACCACCATATCGTCCACATAAATCTCGATGTTTCGACCGATTTGCCCCTGAAACACCTTGTCCATTAACCTTTGATAGGTCACCCCGGCGTTCTTCAGTCCAAATGGCATGACTCGGTAACAGAAGTTGGCGTTCTCAGTGATGAACGCCGTCTTCTCCTCGTCGGATGGGTGCATCCTTATCTGATTGTAGCCAGAATAAGCATCGAGGAAACTGAAGATGGAGTGCCCGGATGCTCCGTCGACAAGTCGGTCAATGCAAGGAAGCGGATAAGCGTCCTTGGGGCATGCTTTATTGAGGTCGGTGTAGTCGATGCACATTCTCCACTTTCCATTCGGCTTTTTCACCAGAACCACGTTGGCTAGCCAAGTCGTGTACGTGACTTCCCTTATGAACTTAGCCTGTAACAACTTTTTCACCTCGGCATTCGCGGCCTTTCGCTTCTCATCGCCCATCTTTCTTTTCTTTTGCGCGAAGGGTCGCGCTTCTCGACATACGGCTAATCGGTGACATAAAAATGTGGGATCTATTCCCGGCATATCAGATGTCGTCCACGCGAAGAGGTCTCGGTTATCCCTGACTACACACTTGACTCGGCTTGGGTCGGCTTCGCTCAACTGAGATCCCATGTTTGTGACTTGTTCGGGTGCTCTACCTAACTGAAAAGGCTTGAGGTCTTCGGCCGGCTCGATTCTTTCTTCTTCACCAAGCCGAGGATCGAGGTCAATGTTTTTCGTCGTTTGCTGCCCTACTGCATGCACACCCTTTGACTTCGGGGAATCGGCCAGTGGCTGTATCTTAAGGCTGGAGAGATAGCATTCGCGTGCTGTTTTTTGATCGGCATGCACGATTATCACTTGTCCATCTCTCGACAGAAACTTCATGCACAGGTGGGGGGTCGAGACAATCGCCTCGAGGGCATTGATGGAGGGTCGACCCAATAAGATGTTGTACGATGTGTTCGCGTGCACCACAATGTATCGGATTTTGACTTCTCGGGAAGGCTTTTGATCGAAACCGAATCGGGTGTACAGGTCAACGCACCCTCTCGTCATCACTCTCTCACCTGAGAAACCTACCAATGGTTCGTGGTATGGTTCTAGGCTCTCCTCAGGAATTCTGAGCTGTACAAATGTATTCCAGTACAAGATGTCGGCTGAGCTCCCCTGGTCGACCAACGTTTTCTTCACAATGCAGTTGTGCATTTCGACTGAAATCACCATAGGGTCGTCTTGAACGGGGTCCACACCGCGGAAATCCTGGTCGGAAAACGTTATAGGTGGCATCCTCGGCAGCTTCAGTTGGTTCATGCTGTTAACCGATTGAACAACGCGGAGGTGTCGCTTTCTTGTCGAAGAGGTGGATCCGCCTCCGGCTATTGTGTTGATTATCTTCCTCGGTTGATCCTTGTCTTCCCGGGAACTTCATGAATGATCTCTCCTTTCAGTTGAACGGGCATGATCCCTCCCTCGTGTTCGGTGGGCCTGCGTCGTTACGAAGTTTCCAAGGTGGCCTTGCTTGATAAGGTCCTCAAGTTTGTCTTTTAATGTCGAGCATTCTTCTGTCGAGTGCCCCCGGTTTCGGTGAAATCGGCATGCCTTAGCCTTGTCGGCCCTCGGAGGCGTGTTCGCCCTCTTGGGCATCATCAATATCTCGGATGCGAGAGCCTGCTCCAGTACCTTAGCTCTGCTCGCATTAAGGGGAGTATATGCTGTGTAGCGCGGACCCCTCGGCGGTCTAACATTAAAGGGCTCGACATTCGCTTTTTTCATTGGCTCTCGACCTGGCTCTTTTCTGCCGTAGCCCTCTTCGGCTCTGGCTTGGTTTTGGGTTTCTGCCAACTCCTCCATTTGCATGTATTTCTCAGCTCGCCGTCGGAGGTCGTTCATATCGGCAGGGGGCTTTTTACACAAACTGTTCACGAACGGTCCTGGTCTGAGGGTCGTGCTCAGCCGGTCCAATGCCACGACAGGATTAAGATCGCCAATCTCCATGGCAGTCTTGTTGAATCGGTCCATGAAGTTTCTCAGGCTCTCTTTCTTTTCTTGATGGACCCCCGCCAAGGCTAACGAAGTCGTCTTGTACGGCTTACTCGTCGCGAACTGTAGGGTGAACTGGGATGACAACTCGGCAAACGAGTCAATGGAGGCACTAGGAAATCTCGTAAACCAACTCAAAGCTCTTCCTTTCAGCGACGTGGGGAATATTCGGCACAAAGCCGAGTCATCTTGAGTGGATAGGGTCGCTTGAGTTAAGAAAACGTTCAAATGTTCCTCAGGGTCGGAGGACCCATCGTACTTCTCAATCGGCATGCTTTTCCAGTGGTCTAGCAGGGTTGCCTCCATTATTCTACGAGAGAAGGGGTGCCTCAGGGAGTGAGTGGGGGTGTCGGTCTTGTTAGCTATCAGAGAGGTGACCGGTGTTCGGGTGACCTGATCAGTCGGGGCGTGATAGGCAGACTCTTCCGCTAGTGTGGGAGTGGATGGAACGTAAGTTTGGTTCAGGTTTCGGAGCTCGGCATTTTGTCGACGTAGCTCGGCCAGCTCGCGGGCATCAGCTTCTCTCTGCCTTCGTCAGTATTCGGCTGCACCTGTTGTATCATAGGCTCCGGTTGGGTCTGAGGAATTCCGTACGGGTAGCGCTCTCGGTTGGTCATGACGGGATTATCTTGGGGGTTAGGGATCGACTGAGTCGTTGTTGATTGTCCTTTACGGGTAACTACCATGTCTTGGTCTCAGTTGGTAGGGTTAAAAGGGGCTGAAATGTCTCTTCGGCCCCACGGTGGGCGCCAAATGTTCCTGTGCTAGGATACACACTCCAATTATCCTTGTTATAGCGAGTCAGGTCTTAGGTCGAAGGTCTCAGTCTCTTTGTTCTTTTTTGAATAGTCCGAAGTGTAGGGGGGGCCTGCAAAGACACTCCGACGCTCAAGTTAGTGGTCGGTGTAATAAATGCGGTAGCTGGAAAAACTAACTACGTACCTCGTTGGGGCTCTATTTATAGGTGTTCGTATTAGGCCGCGATTAAAGATTGGGCCCCGAAAAATTAGGGGGTTAATTCGATAGATTACGGTAATTAAGCTTTTCGTAATCATTCTGACAGATGCGCTGGCTTGGCCGACCACACCGAAACATTTTAGTCGTGTACGAGTGGTCGGCGGGCACGGTTAATCGGACTAATTTCTGCGGGTTCGGCCCGGTCGGCCTTTTAAGTGTTCGGCCTGGTCAGCTACCATACGGTATAGGAGACTAGGTATATTTGAAGGCACAACCGTGTTGGTTGAGGTCTTTGGCACACAGATGGAACAAGAAACTGGCTCCCAGATACTATAGTCCTTTTCTGATTTTGGACAGAGTTGTTTCAGACACTTATAAGTTGCAGTTACCACCAAACAGTAGAATTCATCCAATATACCATATCAGCAAATTAGAACGAGTTGTTCCACCAAATTGCCATGTACAGCTGCCGCCCAAAGATATCTCAGAGGAATGGGAGTTAAAATCCCAACCTTTGTAGGTTAAGGATTTTAGATACAACTGTTACAGAAATTGTACAGATACTGTTGGATACATATATTATCCTCACTATCAATTAGGGATATGATTAGATTAGTTTCCATAATATAAGAGATTAGTATCTCTATCATTTATTGTATTCACTCTATAAATAAGATTGGTGTGTGTACAACAAGACACACAATTCCTGAATCACAACATGGTATCAGAGCTTAGGTCTAGTCCTTTAGATTTTTTTTTTTTTTTTTCCTAAAACAGTTATTTTTTTCCTCTTTTTTCTTCTTGCAGGGGCCTTCACCGACCGCCGCCGCCCATCTTTATATAAAACTATATTATAGCACTTATTTAATTAAGCACTTTTTTAACGTTTCATGTTTTAAAACACAGCACTTATTAATTAAGCGTTATCTCAATAGTGTTATCTATTGCCAATTTTAGAAAGCACTTTTTAATAAAAGCGCTATAACATATTTTTTTTATAAATAAAATAACACAAAGATAGCATTTTTTTTATTAAGCGCTCTCTATATAAAACTATATTATAGCGCTTATTTAATTAAGCGTTTTTCTAACGTTTCATGTTTTAAAACACAGCACTTATTAATTAAGCGCTATCTAAATAGTGCTATCTATTGCCACTTCTGGTGTAGTGTGGATCATATTCGAGACTTAAGGGAGTACTTCCTTTTCATCATTTTGTTTGACATTTAAATAAAATGTGTTTTATTTTAACTGTTAATTTTAGATATCAGTATATGTTTAACTATTTAATGTGATGTAAGAAAATACAAAAATAAATATAGATGATAGAAAATAGAGAGAGAGAGAGAGAGAGAGAGAGAGAGAGACAAACACATAGAAAGGGGGGGTTGAATATGTGTTTTTGTTAGTACGAAGGAATATTAGAAACGCTTTCGCAAAAGTAATGCTCTTCGTCTAATGCACTTTTGAATGTTAGACGGTTACACAGAATTTGGTTAACATAATGTTATTTCTTTTGAAGGATTCATCGTCTACTAAGAAAAATGTTTCATAATGATAATTATTGAAGTTCTAATATTTTCCTTCTCAAGATAGTTTCATTTGAAGACAAGTAAAGGATAAAGCTTTTTAGTCTAATATGTTTGTTAAACAAAGTTTGCGTCTTCATCTGAAAAATGGTTTTAATGAAGAATAGACACTAGACGAAGATTAATGGTAATTTGATAATTAAAAATAATCTGCGTCTGAATTATAAATAGAGTAGTGCAATCATTTTTATACAGGTTTGCTCAACAAAGCTACGTCCAGTCTCCTTCAACTTGAAGGGTTCCACTAGATCTACAATGAAGTACACAAGTATTGTTGACCACTTCTAGCCTATTGACATCACTCATCAACGCTAATATATTATCCTCAGCCTCTTCAGGCTAGCAGTGAGTATTACGAACCACCCAGGTTAGAACCACTCCAAGTCCAAGTAATCTTGACCACTCTTGGCCCGTCGGCTTCACTCACCAACGCTAGTATTTTCTTCTCAGCCACTTCTGGCTAGCAGTGAGTATTCTTTCACAAGCCCCTCTGGACTTTACAAGTATTCTTTATACGTTTTGTCTCTGGTTTCATTGAACCATGGGTTGGATATCACTATTCTTTATGCTTGCACCATTTCGGGTCAAATAGGCAACCAATTAAGGTTTGATGTTGAGGCTTATATATAGTCTTGTGAGTTTGCCCGTTACAACTTCCCGTTGAAGCAAATATAGTCGTTCGCGACTAGTTTGATCTTCGCATTTAATGCTCTGATTTTTGAATTAATTGTGGCTTCTTGTTCATAGACAATGCATGAAGATTTCTTGCTCAGTTAGTATTTGAATCTGAATGTAGCAGAGTCCTATGAAACTTCTGTCCTTTTTGACCCTATAGTTGTGGAGCTTTTGTCCTTGCCTGAAAAAGTGATGTACTTTTTCTGACATATGCATGATTTAGCGTTTGAGCATGCTTTTTTTTTTCTTCTAATAATTCAAATGACTTCATTTGTTCTTCTGTGAGTGTAGACGATATTGAAATTCTCATTTGAGGCTTGATTTCTCAAATGATTGCGTGACATTCTTCGTCTACGTCTGGTAGTCGATATTCACATTTTCACTTTTCCTTTCATCTTGGTCAACCTTGTATATGGTCAGACTTTCCATTTCTTCTAGAGTTTCTTCTTGGTCATTTGACTACCTTCTGTCTGAGTCTTTATGTGTTGTGCTTGGCATGGTCTTGTTCCTTATATGGCTTGTTCAGTGCTTATGTTGGCCTTTCATTTTGTAGCGTCTGATGCTTATGCCTCTTCGTCATTTTACCTGTTCTTATGTCTTTCTGAAACACTAACTCACTTGTTAGAGATAAAAACATATTATATTTGTCTCACTCAAAACCTTTTTGGGACATTTTCACTTTTCCTTTCATCTTGGTCAACCTTGTATATGGTCAGACTTTCCATTTCTTCTAGAGTTTCTTCTTGGTCATTTGACTACCTTCTGTCTGAGTCTTTATGTGTTGTGCTTGGCATGGTCTTGTTCCTTATATGGCTTGTTTAGTGCTTATTTTGGCCTTTCATTTTGTAGCGTCTGATGCTTATGCCTCTTCGTCATTTTACCTGTTCTTATGTCTTTCTGAAACACTAACTCACTTGTTAGAGATAAAAACATATTATATTTGTCTCACTCAAAACCTTTTTGGGAATTTCTTCTTCTGACTTAACAATCTCCCCCTTTTTGATGATGACAAATATAATTAATCAAAATTGTTTCAGATAAACCTTGGAAGCTTAAGACAAAAAAAATTGAACTTGAAGTACTCAAATTTAGTTATAACCCTGTTGTTTATTAGGTTATTCATTAAATGCAACTCTCCCCCTAAGTGTATGCTCTCTCCCTTACTTTTTATTCAATCATTAACATGTATTTGATTAATTTCTTTTCTATTTCTCCCCCTTTGTAATCATAAAAAAAATGAAACAGATGAAAAAAAGATGTGCATTGAATAACAATATGTGGGTACAAAAAAAATGCAAAAAAAGTTTCCTCTACCAATCATGACTAATTCTGCAGAGCTGTCCTATCTTCCCTGAATATGATCATCAAGATAGAGGGGGATCCTTGGGAAGCTTGGATGCGATCAGATTAAACAAGCTGTCAAACTTCTTGTCTAATCGAGAACCTGTTATGCTGAACTTGAACCTGTTAAATTCCTCAATCGAGAAAAATTGTTATGCTGGTTCAGGGGTAGATGGAAGTATGGCCAGAGGGGCAGACGTAGATATTGGATCAACAGAAATAGGCTCAGATGTGTGTGATTCAGACCGTGCATCTTTGGAAGGGGCATCCTAAGGCATAGGCATACCAGGTTTCCGTGGTGGGATGTCCTTGCACCACTTATACTCAACCTTATGCCATGTGTCTATGACAGCCTTCCACTCATCTCTGTATAGATCGAGATTGCAAAGAGAGGAGTGGATGAAGTATCTCTTGCTAAGAGCATCAAGATCAGGCCCTCGTCGTCTGTTAAGAAAGGCAGCAGATGTGTTGCTGAAGTGTATTACTTTGCATGGGGTCATCCAGCGATACCCACGCAGCATGAGGGTCTTGGCCTTTTCTTCATTTGATAAAACTTCTCTGCATCGTCTTCAGTATATATTAGTGCCCTAGTTGGATCTTGTTGCCAATTCAAGCTTACTCCTTTGTATTGGAAAATCTCAACTTTTGATGGTCTGGGCATAGGTCCGAGATGGACAACAAAGTCTTTCATTTTGTTCTTATAAATTGGAGGAAGACGAGGACAGATGCGATCAAGATAAACAT